TCAGTTTTTCTCTCTGCCACGGATCAGAATGCTTCACGCTGTAGCACCACTGCTTTTGGCATGGTTGCATCAGAGATGAATTTTTCCCATTGCACCATTCTACTTGGTAGATTTTAGTTTCATTTTAGTTTCCTAAGTAGGCGACAGGCAGAGGAACAGAAGATGCAAGGAAAACATGAAAAGACACATTTTATGTGAATATTGTAAATGCATAGTAGCATTGTGCCTATGGTACCTCCAAAAGGAACTCAGGAAAGTGTGTTTCTTAGATCATGATGTTCTCTAAACCCTTAAAGTAGTCCAAGGTCCATAGCAAGTAGATAAGTAAGTGAATGGGGGGGAATCAGAAGGTATGTTTTTGCCGCCTCTTAACCATCCATTTGCACCACTTCAACTCTACATCTCTTATTCCAATGTAAGTGCTTTGATACCATGGCTAAGCATAAGCCACTTAAAGCAGGATCAGAAGATGTGGGGTGATTCCTTGGGAAGTCTGCCATGGCCCCACAACAACCAGGAAATTGTAGTCAAAACTTAAGTTTGAAAAAACCTCATGGCATTGTTTGCTTGTAGGTATAAGTTCATGTTATCGGTTTCTTGGATCAATGCATTCAATATGCATTTTTATTAATGGAAGCTGAAATGCCGCACAGCTTTTGTGGGTTTTCCCCACAGTTTTTGGTAGCTTATTTGCATTTTTTTGGTTAATTATCTCGACTTTAAAATGATGTACTTTATGTTGTCTTTTTTAATCATAGAAAGGATTGTTCTGCAGGTTCTTTTTACAATTTTTTTTTTTAAGCCTTGGATGCAATTCTGAAGGAAAGTAGACACTTTTCCCTTAAACATGTCAAAGTTGTATCTGACTATTAGCCAGTAAGTCCTAAAAATATTCTTGTGAGGTCGGTAACGTGTGTTATCTTTTAGATAAGCAGACATAGCACTGTTGTACTACCTGAAATTCCATCAGGCTCCGAGCTCTGTAGAGAGGGACAAATGCTAGATAGGTATGCAATTTGTAATAGCTAAGATATGCAAGCAAGCTCTGGGAGTTGTATTGGATTTGATTACAAACCATAATATGACACAACCCCTTTTGTGGGTAGTACGTACACTGGGAGAGGCGGTGCAATCAGGCAGCACGAACACTGGACTGCAAGCGCTATCCAGAGCCCTAAATCCACTTTTACAGTACCGTTACCACGTGGCTTTGGGAGAACCTTGCCTGAATCAACAGTCCTTCCTCCAATCCCCTATCTGTTTGTTTACCATTGTTGTATTAAACAATCATAGCTCACTAGGCCACTTCAATGCTATTTATATCTCAGCATGATAGTAGGCTTCAGGGAAGCTTTTTAAAGGAATTACATGAAATGACAAGAATTTATTTGAATAATTTCCTGCAAGCTGGCAGTGAGCCTGACAACTTTTCCTTGAAGTAGCTTTTCCCATCAAGAAAATTTTCCCAGTGTGACCATCCTCCACCGCAGCAAGAATGAGTGCACTTCCGTTACAGAAGTGAATGACAGAGGTATTCCTGTGTTGGCCAACATTTAAGTATTGAGCAGTACTGAATCCGAAACTCGTCTAGTCGTAGACAAGGAGAGAAAAAATCCTCATATCGAGTCAACATTTGACAATTGTGTTTTCCAGTCCAGCTTCAGAACCAACTCATTAGTTGGACAGGTCTGCCTGCCCAAGTGATTGCAGCTGCTTGGTTTGTTAATGCATAGAAGGATGCTGGCACTGGCCATTCAACATCAGTTCCATTAGCAGACCTGAATCTGCAGAGTTGCAGGTTAAAAAAAAAAAAGGCTTTGAGGCTTGTGTTTTCCGTTTTCTTCCTTCTGGATGTTGTCCCTAATTATATGTATGGAGGGAAGAAAGGTTGTACAAATCAAAATGTCTGTTCAATAGAGTATTGGCCTGGACTTTCTTGTGGAGAATGTCAGTTTAATGAGGATTTAATTTTTAAGACTGTAGTTCCACAGCTGACCAAAGGCATGACTCGTTAATGAAAGCAAAGCCTACTTTTGTTTGGATAGACATTCCATCAAGTAAATCATATTACTTCGTAACACCATAATCTTTTTTATTTACAGAGATTCATACATTTTATAAAATTGCATTTTACTAAATGTGGGATTTTGTCCCGTGGTGAACAAATCAGGGCTACTTCTGTATGTATGTGTGTATGCTCTAAACTCTATAACGTTCAGCTGCAAGGCTACTTATATCACTGTTTGAAGGCAAGTGACGTTTCAATGAGAGCATCCTGAAAGAAAGTAATATGCTCTGTGAAACACTGATACTGATATTTACTAAATATTAGTCTTCTGATTGCTTTGAGCTACATGAAAACATACAAAACGGTACAGTTTTTGCACTGTTATCTCAGATTGAAACTTTTGTCATTATTTTCATCACTGGCCATGTTTTCCAAATTCTCATTGAAAGGCATACCTCAGGGAGCCAAACATGTTCTGTACTCTAAAAGTGTTTCAGTAGATGGCCTTGCCTCCACTTTGAATGCTTTTGTCTGTCCCCTGTAACATGACCCAGTACGCTACTGTGTGCACACCTGTGGCATTACAAAAAATTTATTCTCCAAAGCCACAGCCCTTAAGAGTGTCCTGTGGGAGTAAAAGTATGCAAGGGCCATTGCAGTACAAACCAAAGTAACTGTAATTTAAAGTTTCTTAGCTTTCTGTAGAGAAGGTTTTGCCTCATTTTGCCTAGTTGGGCATATAGGATGTAAAATAACCCCTCATTCCTCTCTGTGAACCAAGGGTATTACAAGTTACACCTCTGTGGAGCCATTGCATTCATTTCTGTACTAGAGTCTATGGAAGCAGTAGGGGTATGGGGTGTGAGGAGACTTAATTCTGGTCATCAATGGTTTGTCCAGCCTGCTAATCTATCACAGATGAGGAAATGGTCTGTGCTAGGTAAAGAGCTGATCTAGATTAGTTTCCTCCTCATGGGGGAAATGGGGAAGGTCTTTCCACCTCAGTGGAACCACCCTTGCTGAGTGTACACATCTGCAGATGGACTTGGTGAACAGTATTCCTTGCTATTTGAGGTGCTTTAGGCTACGGTTAATATTTGTCTATGGAGTTGCTTTTTTAGATATACAGCTTCACCATTCTTTGTTTTCATATGTCCTTAGGCTATTTCCATTTACTGTCTTAACTCTGCAGCATCTAGCTCTGGGTTCTGATCTTGGAAGTAATAAGATTGTATGCTTACTTCTCCAGGTTGATTTCTTCTGCATGGGATACCATGTGTTTTTAATCTGATGGTCATTCTGTTTTATGTTGTCATACAAAACTGCCATCAGTAAGTTTACCAATGGAAATACATTGGTGTTTCCATTCCTCTTTCTCTGTATAATTCAGGTTTTTTATTGAAGTCATATACACAACTATAAGTCTTGTAAAGACATATTTGATTTTTGCCTTTGGTAACAGAAAACTTTAAAATAGCTATGAACATAGGAATGGGTGACCAACACCCACCAAGTCTTTTATTCCTCCTTCGTACAGCCTTTCTGGCTTACCCATTCTGCCTCATCTTTCTCTCTCTTTTCTTTTTTTTTTTATACCGTTCTTTTGCTTATTCCAGTTTATGGCGCATGATTTCACAAGTCATATGAAGACCTCATCCCCAGGTCACAGGCGTCTGGAAGGCTGAAATAGGGATGTTAGCACGAAAAGAAAGTGGAGACAACTTGGCTTTATCTGCTGATCCACAAATAACTTGAACGATGTTACTAGCCATTAAATCGGAATCCCATTTTAGAAATAACAGAAATAACGGCCTTGATTCACACCTGATTTACTTTGGCTTTTGCTGGTGGAAATTAGGATACAGAATGGTGTTGGCAAAGCTGTACGGGGGCAAAAAAGTGCAATGACCTAGTAAGCTGTTCCTCTTGGGATCCTATAGCCATCTAACTCGACCCATAAAATGTTGGTTAAAGTGGCTACGGACAGAGACCCTGGTGACCTGTTCAGGCCAGAATCCCAGAAAGCATCACATTCCTGTGATATCCTGGTTGCTGCTTAAGCCATTCTTCCTTAGTGACATCTCTGTGGCACACTTCTTGCCTCCCTGAATTTAATCAGTGCCGTAGTCTATTTGAAAGCATCTCTGGGATATACAGTTTGCTTTGTGCTAGCAGGTTGATGTAGACCATCACCTTGCAAGCCTCACATCTGGAGCACATGCTAGCGAAACAGTGACAGAATTTTGCTACCATGAGCAGTGCAAGTGCTGAACAAACCTACCCTTTTTCAGAAGAGGAGTTTTATAGCTTTCAGAATTGAATAATAAGGAGCTGGCTCGAATTTCAGAGACCTGTACATTTGATGATTGGGCATTTTTGCTACCTATGCACTGCACAAGAACTATCACAGTTAAGTGTTTTATTTCCTGATACCTACTGTATAAAGGTATGGCAAAGCCCTTTGCAGGGCATCCTTTATTTTACAACTGTGGTTTTCTCCTCCTCCGCATAATAGCACCAGCTCATGTTATGACTGTTTCAAATCAGAACTGTTACGTTCATGTTATCCCTGCTATGATATGTGCAGTGACATTCTGAAGGCCTCTTCTTCGGGCAGGCAAAATTCCCGTTGGCTTGACTGGTAAACTTATATGAACAAAGAGTGTTGCTCAGCTCTGAGGTCTCTCTGGTGGGCAGAGCTGTAGCCTTACTGAAGGGAAATTTTGCTTTCATTGCCTCCAGTGAGGTCTTGCTCTCACCACAGAACTACACTGGCAGAACCACACACCGTTATTTATGGGAACATGTTCATTAACTTCCTACCAGAACCCAAATACTGTGAATACTACAGTATTCACAACGTGAACCCAGCTGAGCTCAGCAGGACATGTGCCCCACGTTGTAACAGAGCCAGAATTTAATCCGAGATATCTTTAAAACAGTAGATGGTGCTGAACCCAGCATAACTCTCTTCCCTCTCTTCAATTTACAGCTACCTCATCCCTGAACTCCCAGCTGCAACAGCTTCAGCATCTTCAGCAGCTCCAGCATCAACAGCAGCAGCAACAGCAGCAGCAAGGCCAGCAGCAGCAGCAGCAAGGCCAGCAGCAGCAGCAAGCTCAGCCGGCGCAGCCTCCACAGCCACCCCAGCAGACCCCACAGCCACAGCCGCAGCCGTCAGTCCAGCCACAGCAGAACCAAACGCAGTCACAGAGCCAGAGCCAGCCGCCTCCAGCCTCACAGTCCTCCAGCTCCCCTCAGAAACCCAACCAGTCACCAGGACAAGGCCTCCCATCTCCTCTTACTTCACCAAATCCACTGCAGGTAGGGTGCTAAGTACAAATCTCTAATGTTTTTGCAACAGAAAGTGCATATCCTCCCACTGCGAGGGGAAATCAGATGAACATTACACTTTCTGACCGTGCAAGCTGAGAAATTCCACCTCGTATTAGTTAATCCTTACAAGCATGCACCTTACGCCAAAAATCCTGATAAACCAGAAGAACATAGCTAGTGATGGTCCTAGCCTGTTCCTTTCTGAACAGTAAGCTTTTTTTGCTGATAAAGTCCATGCCATAAAGCCCATAGAAAACTATCTAATTTTTTCCATGGATGTGGTGGCGTGACCTTCACAAATGGCGTTTGCCCAACAGTCACCCTTTGTGAGAATTTTTGGGGGTAGCAAAATTAGCTGCTCGTTATCAGGTGATCCTGCGTATCCCTGAAAAAATAAAGCTTCCACTGGTGAATGTGTGCAAGGGACGGATGGGTAACCCTTTCTCTTGAAACCACAGTTCTAAAGTTTATCCTGTTAAGGATCAAATAGTTCCGTTAAGATTCTCAGTACAGATCCCAAAGCTAAAAGAACACCAGAATTAATTCCTCTGCTAGGTGCTCACTCTGCTGACGTGAGTGTTTTCAAATATACCGCAACAACAAATGTGGCACCTGCACTGATGCTGAACTCTGCCTGTCTTGGAATTCCCAGCCAGAAATATGAGAGCTGTAATATAACGGTCCGAATATCTTACCCCTAGGTGTTCTTATACAATATGTGTCATGTAGTATCCATGTCCTGCAAGGACAGCTTTGACTATATCTGCAAGTATGATTCTGAATAAACACCAGGGGGTAACCTGTGAGGTGAGCAGATTCTCTTCTGATGAGCAGTGGAACTGCACTTAAAACAAGCAAGAAATGTTGCCACCAAGAAAACTCTCAATTCACTTTATTCCTCAAATTTTGACACCCCACTTACAAGATTTTATCCACACTGATGGCTTCAGCTCCATTTGCTGCAGAAATTGAACCGCATTAGCTTAATAATTAAAAAATCATTTTTCAAGTAATTAAGGGAATTTGTTTACAAGAAGCTGTGTTTTCTATGTGGCCAGTTAAACTTGGCATTAACCTGAGTTGCAACTGAATTGTATCCAATCTGATTTTTTAATGGCTTAGCTAATAGTCTTAAAAGTCCACAAGAGATGTGTCCTTGCTTCGTGAGCCTTTTCTTACAGTAGAATGTGTTTCTAGAGCTTCTTCTGTGTATTGTCTTAAGGGATACTTAAGCGCTACTTAGTGCACAGTCTATCATGCCAGTAGGTGCTTTGGGACTCTTTAATATGCAGATTATTGACATACAGAGACAGAAATAGCTCCAAAGGAGCTTTTGTTACATTTTATTGTCTTGGTGCAGCTGCAGCGTATGCACACTAAGTATATACTCCACATGTTGCTAAAACTGCCTGCTAAATATTTTTCTGCAGAAGTTGCTGTGCATTCAGTTTTCCAGACAAGAAATATGCACACAAAAGTTAAGCTTGGGGGAGGGAGGAATGGGGATGAGCTTACTGAGTATACCTCAGGAGGGATGTACTAACAATGACTTTGAACTTGAAATCTTCTCTCTCATGTGGCCTCCAGTCCTAATCTAATTCTGAGTACTTCCAGTCTCATCTGTGACCTACAGGTACAGGCCACTAAGAGTGTTCACTCTGGTTTAGCTCTGTAGGGTCGTGTCTCGCTTTCGGAAGCACAATACAAGTAAGTAAAACCAGTAATGCCTTGTATAAGAGGTGCTCGTGTCAATGTTCTTATGGAGATACCTTGGCATGTCGCTCTCTTTAACGTATTATCCTCCCAACTACCCTTCTGGGAACCGTCTGGATATGGCAGACTGAGCACTAGCAGAAGGAGGGAATCAAGTACTGTGAGATGGTTTTAGTTCCAACACTATCTCCTAAACCACTCCTTTTAAGTACTGGGATTAGAGCTAATGAAAAATACCAAAGCGAGAGGTCTGGCGCTCCCACTGGGTTGTATTCAGCCAGTGCTGCTAAGCCAGCTGAATGAGTCGGACGCTCTCAGAGCACCAACCAATGAATTTTAAGTCATTAGCTGTCAGCTCTGGCTCAGCATTAAAGATTTCTTAATAAATTTAGGGTTAAGTATTTTTATGTTCTTTCCTCTGTGACCCATGCCATTTAAATAGCCACAAAAAAACCAAAGCTTTTCGCAAACACAAACATGCCATGTGCTAACATCCAGAGTAGAAGCCTGGATTCAGCACAGTACTTCAGGCCTAGCCGTAAGGATGGGTGTAGGGCTATTGACTTGGCCTTCCAGCCATTTCTGCAGGAAGCATAATACTTCTCAAGCTTCCCTAAGATACAGTGTTTAAGAAATAGTTAAGAAGAACTTGAAACATGGTTTCTGGTATTACTGAGGACTGTGAGACTCTCTAATATGCAAACCAGTGGTACTCGGAAATATCTCCAGAGGAACTGCTGTTGTACTTTATATATGGTTTAATGATGTGTTTGTGTACGTTTCTAAAGCAGAGCAGTGGTAAGATCTTCTCCATTAAATTTGACTTTCCATTTGAAATCCTGCAGAGAAAAACTGTTTTACCTCCGTACATTTAGCTTGAGGATTGGATCTGAAATTGTTTTCTTTTATACAAGTGTGAAAAAAAAGGAGAGAGCAGACGTTTGGCATCAGTTCATATATCCAGTTCATAATAGCTGCTTAGGCTGTGGATTTTTTTAATGTCCAATTTAACTTAAAAATCGACCTAGAACTAAATTCAAAGATATTATGGCCTCTAAGGTAATGATCTTTATGAACTAGAATGAAATGGGTTTTGTTTGAAGAATATTAAGGGAATAAAGATCAAGTAAGTTAAAGTTTGACAGCTTAAATTTCATTTCTGAATTCTTGATTTTTTCATGTGGGCTTTATCGTCTTACATTATTCAGGATCTGTCTGAAAGATATTAGTTTAGAACAATGCAACCTCAAAAAAATTGTCATGGAAAGTCAGTAATTCAGGAGGATGATTGTGTTTGTTTCAAAAAACTCTGAAGGATAACAGCAATTACATCTCAAAATGTACAGATGCTGTCATGTCCTTCGGAAAGCAAATGAAATGAAAGTGACTTGCTGAGGTATACCTGAGTGAGGTACTTTTGCTAGCCGATCAGAAATGAGTAACACTGGTGCAGTGTACACTGGCTAAAACTCTCAGAATGATTCTTGTCAGATTGTTCTGTAATACACTGCTATAATTTTATCACTATTCTTTACTCAATTCAGTGGGCTGGCTTGTAGTTACAAAACTATTATTTTTAGTGAGTCTTAATGATTGTATAGTAAGAAGAAAAAGCTTAGTTTAAGTTCCAGGGCCCGGATTCTGTGCTCACATTAGTGATGATGCTCCTCATTTACACTAGTGATGGCACAACACTGCGGAATCAGGGTCATTACTAATTTGTAAAAGTTAACAAACCAGAAGAGAATTTTCCAAAGTAGATCTGCATTTCAGCAGGTAGTGGGGTCCGGTAGATCATGGAGGACCCACATGCCGTCATTTTAAGATGGTGAAATTCTTCATATGGATAGTTGCAGACAGGTTTTTCGTTAAGTTGTGCCACTTGATTGAAAAAAAGCGATCCATAGGCAAAAGACAGTACAGCTCATGAGGTTAACTCGGGACTTCAGAACTTTTAATTCTGCGAATATGTCCTTCTCCAAATTTACTTATCCTCTGAATATTTAATGTTATTGCAGGGCAAACTCTGTGGGTTCCTGAATGACCAGCATGTTGCAACTTCAAAGCATAGTTAGCACCTCTTATAGAGTTTCCATTCTATTAAATTTCTGGAGCCATAGGATCCTGATTATATACTGCGTAAAATTAGATGAGCCAAATACTAAGTAGCCTATTATTCTGCTTAACTGCCAGAATAAGATGTTTTTTATCAGCAACATATATTTAACTGGCCTCGCCCCAAACAGGAGGTTAGCTTCTGGTGCTGACACTCATTGTTATGTTTTAGTGGTATGGATAAGAGGAGCCTACCCACGGACAGATCTACGAATAGAAAAATTCCCAGTGATTTCTACTGCTCTGCTCATACGTGGATAAGAACAGACAAACAAGAAATCCCCCAAGGAGTGCCCCACTGTAAAATTATTCTGACCATTTTGAGAACTCTTTTCTTAAGCCCCTTTTTGTCATGGAAACCTACCTACAGTAACTGAAGCTGATGGAAGATGATGAATGAGAAAAAAATAATAATAAAAGGAGGAAAGAAGAGAAGTTGGGGAGATGACAACAGCAGAAAAATCTTCCAAGTAATAGGAAACTCTAGGATAGCAAAAACAGAACAGAATCAGATTAAATTTTTATACTAATCCTAAATAATGTATTTGGTACCTCATCTCTTTTATAACAAAGGAGAAAAGAAGAGCAGAGAGGCTGAAACACTCAGCTGTAAATGAGGGAGAATGTATATAGAGATGCCTGAGGCTCCAACAGTCGAAAAAGCCCAAACTGACCCTCCCTTTCCTTGCCAACTGCATTCACTGGTTAGCTTCTCATTAAGGAAAAATCTACTTTTAAAAAAAACCTCAGCGTTTACTGACGCTTTGATAAATTTACATATATTTAAGATACAGAAGGAACAACAAAGTCTCTGTCGGTTTCAGAAAGGCAGCTGGGATTAGTTTGCAAAGAGCATAGTGAGGGGCTGTCTTTCTGTCTGTGTTTACATCCTGGACTTGTTGTGTTATGTTCATAGACTCTTGATGAAACTTGATCAAGATGGTAACACCGATAATCGCACTGAATTTTCTGCTGAAGTTAACCAACTTTCTTGCTGCGTATGATACTGTGCCATGTGAGAATCTGTTCCCAAGCTGTTTGGAAATAAGTTTGACAAAGAAATCTTTTATAAATGGTGAGCAGGTGCAAAGTTTTTAGTCCACTTTCCAGGGCTTCCTTATTTTTGGTTTCAGTTGTGAATGAGATATTGCACATCACAG